AGTACATTACTTCAGACCTCGACGCGTATTCGGAAGGTTGTGAGTTCCAATCTCGTTCGAGGGCCAACTCAATGCACCATCCCTTCGAAGATGACATTTGGAACCAGTTTGTGGATGTTTGGTTCCCGGCCATGGGAATGTGGAATTTCCACCACTGGACTGGCAACGCTGCTAAACTGCAAACGCGTGGACGACCTCCACAGTGGACTGATCCTCTCTTACGATGCGAGTAAAACGCGTGAATTGTTGGTAGAAATTATATTGCGTTTGTAAATTACTCATTTGTATATTAAAGACGCATGTGGGCCATGCCGAAGTCTGTCTTTGTGGGCTCTGCTGGACGAGCTGGTGATGAAACCTAATTGCTGTGCTGTTAGGGTGGTCCAGATGTCTTGTGACCCCCCCTCCCCAATTAATTGACCCCTACAATTGTTTTGTTTGATTTGCATCTTCATTTCTATTGTAAATCAACATATTACAACTGTAGTAGGTTCCAGGAGACTTGGACGACGTAGTTGGAGGCACACTTATTTATTAAACACAAAGTACATAACAGGCCGAGATGTACAACACTCGAAGGGGTATCAGCCCCTCCTTCACCCGTCTAACTGGGAGATCAACACTCTATGTCACAGCTAGCCTACTCCTAGGTCCTCCACTACCGGGCTAGGGGAGGCTAGCTAACCCAGCCCTGGTTAAGCTGGGATTACGGCACCCTGAGACCCCAGACCGGCTCTTACAAGAGCATCGGCTCTGGGCTCTCGGGGCCACGCCACTGGCTTGCCCTGGTCGGTCCTGAGAAGGACAGCGATCCAGGGGAGTCCCAGGGCCTATCTAGCAGGTCTTCTTGCTTCACTGGTTAAGGCTGAACACTGAACCCCGAGCCCTCCGGCTCACCGCCTTATATAGCAACTCCCCCACTGAGGGGTGGGGCCGTGGGGGATCCCAGCGCCGTGTTAGCCCCCCAGGCTCAACGGTGCGGACGTGGATGTAAGCACCTCTCGGCGTACGGGCATAACCACGCCCAGTGTGTTTGTTTGCCCTCCGTAACGCCTCTACACAACAATGACGTTTTATATAATTAAGTGGGGGGGGGGGGGGGGGGTCACAAGACATCTTGACCATCGTGCACTGTATTTGGCGATGCTTGCTTTGGCAGTGGCGCCCAAAAGCTCAATTAACAACAAAAACAGTGGCACTAAAATAAAATTAAAATAGGCGACGTTTCGGGAAATGGCCCTTCTTCATAGCACAAGTGCTAGAAATATCTTACAGGCAACGATTCGGGGATAACACTTCATCGCTCCATAAAGAAGGCATCTTTGGGCCGAAGCACGTGCTTTGAAGAATGTGCCATTAAGAAGGGCAATTGCCCGAAACGTCGGCTATATTACATTTATCATTGACATGCATTTAGATTATTTGCATTGTTCTGCTGCTATAAATTTCCACATGATACGCCACTTTGTTGAGCTACAATTTGTGGCTAATAGCTCAGGTGGGCTTTAACAGGTAACATTAAAACAACGTTTAGTTTAATTTTAAATTTGTTTTTAAAGTACATTTTTGTGTTTAACCTGTCTTTTACTTTACACTCGTGTCGCGTTTTATGTATCGTTTGTTGCTGTTACTTTGCATCTGTGCCGGGGGGGAGGGGGTGAAGAGCTTTAAATCTCTTCGGATTTCCCCCTCCAGTATAAGAAAACAATTGTGAGATTCTGATGAACGTGTTCAGCTTTTGTGATGAATCTCAAGAAACGCACTCGGAGGCGATGGGGGGAGGGGCGGGGGGAGGGGCGGGGGGAGGGGCGGGGGGAGGGGCGGCGACAAGCGCCTTGGGGGGGATGGGTGACGTCATTACCGCGTTGTATTTCCCAATGCGGATGAGCGGCGCTCCTCGCACGCGATTGGTCGAGAGGAGGCGGGAGGGGGGCGGGGCGGGTGAGCGGAGGCGTGGCTCCCGGTGCCAAAGTTGACCAATCAGGAGGCGTCCGTGGGGATAATCATTGAGGCCTCATGTGACGGCCACATGGCCTCTCGCTGCGATAACCCCAGGCACCGTAAAATATTTTTTTAGCTATCAATCAATATACAGTGCTATGATGTGTGTGTGTGTTTGTGATTAGTTTTATACTGCATATGTACAAAAAATATTACAACCTATAATTTATGGAGCCTTGTATTGATTAGTGGTACAGTGACGTTGATGCCACTACATTATTTTATTCGGCGATTAGATTCCATGCAATGACATTAAATGTCCTCTTCGGCCTTTAACTTCCATAAAATGTCAATAAGTTTGCTGAATGTGGTCACGGAATTACAGAAAATGACGTGTAATGCCCGTTTATCTGATCATAAAAGTACTTAAAATGTCATTAACTGCCTTCAACTTCACTGCGAATTGCATTCAAATTCCATTAAAGACCTGGAATTTGGTCAATAAATTACTTCACATTTTAAAACTAAACTAAACTGCTTTTGTTTCACCAGGTAAGGCCCACGGAGCGATGTAGCTCTTTTTCAGAAGCGCCCTGGCTGTCACAAATGATAGCTCAACGAAGTGGCTCATCACGTGGAAATTTATAGCAGCCAAATATTCTAAACTCACGTTTCTAAATGCTGAGGGAAAACCGGAGGACCCAGAGAAAAATCCATGCGACCACGGGGAGAGACACGCAAAATCTAAATATACCTCCAGTTTACCAGGCAAGGCAGTTAAAATCTCGCCACCGCGGCACCAAATTCTATTGTTTTGCGCCATGAACAACCATTGCCTGAAACGTCGCCTATTATATATTTTTATTTTTAAGGCCACACAGTGCTTTATTGAGCTTCCGTGCCTGTGCACCACTGCCAACGCAGAAGCAGGCTCGCCAAGCAATTTATATGCGGTCACACAAAAATGTCTTAAACTCTCTTCAACCCCTTCAAATGCATACACAAACTCAGCAATATGAGTCTGAAAACAATAAAGAAATGTCGAGGCACATTGAGGGCTTCTTGGAAAAAGGATAGTATTCAAATACTGTAAATGAAATATGATGTGGGAAGAACTTGGGGTGCCCGGAGAAAAGCTATTCCTGCCAGAAGAGACAGCATTTAAACACTGCAAGAAACATAAATAAGCAGAATACACACATTCCCATATCTCACCCTGCATATGAAAGTATGTTTGCCACATCCCATTAGTCACACGGCCTTCTGGGATAATATAATGCAGAAATTGTAATGTGCGTTATTTACCCAGGGTATCCTCACTGGGTCTGAAGACTGTCTTTCAAAGCCCAGTCCTGCTACTTTGGGAAACCTGGCCAATCCCATTCACCTCGATGAGTACACGCACAGCCCTTTTGTCAATCCACTGCTGGATGAGGGCCTCCCCACGACTAGCTCAGGTCGCCATAATTCACCGCGCGAAGGCGCGGAGCATAGACGTGGGGAGCTTAGAAGTGCAGTCCAACACGACTGTAGTTAGTTTAACACGTAGGCTTTCGCGACCAATATTATTCATAATCAACGTTTTTGGGTTTAGATCGCGTTATTTATAAATGTGTCGCAACCCTCCACCACCCGACACGGCCAATCAGTAAAAAAGTGTCACGTTGACAAAAGACAAATAGTTCACTGCTTTAGCCCACCGGTGTGTTTTACAATTTGAGTACTCAAATTGAGTACTCAAATTGTAAATGTGGGCTAAAGCGCTGATTATGAACGACTGTAGTTGTTTTGGCCCGTCATTCGATTGCGTGTGTTGTTTATCCGTTGTATACAATTGGGTGAAGGGGAGTGCTGTGTAAATTATATGACGAGCCAAAGGGTCAAAGGACGACAAGGCGGATGATCGTGACGGGAAAGACGAGGGGAAATTATGTTTTATTAGAACGTCAGTACTGTCGTGATTGTGAACATTTTCTGATGAGGTTTATATTTAGTTAACAACATTTGTGAATAGGCTTGTGAATTCTTTGAGGTTATTAAATCCAACGATTCAATTTAGCCGTGCTGTGATTTTTGGGGGTATATAGCGTGCGTGTGAATACATTTGGTTTAACTGTGCAATAGATGTACTTACGAAAATAGGTATTATGTGTGCAGTGTAGTTTGTGAATAGAATTTGAAGTGGACTTTTTTTTAAGTGTTAATTAGATGTTGCTACTAGTCACGAGGCTTAACATCGGTGCAATGTGCAATTAGATTCATGAACAGTTTGTGCGCGTCGATAGATTCCCAGTAAACCACATGCCAACAATGTTGGGCAGATGTTCGCCCAACGTTCACACAACGTTCACCCAACAGTTTCACCCGCACGCCAACGTTCGTTGTTTTTCCGCGGTGCAAATTTTTTTTATTTTTTAATCCTTTATATTAAGTTCACTTGCGTGCTTGCTTGCTTGCTTACGACCGTGCAAACCTTTCGGTCGTTTTTTAACCCACTTCCCGTGATCCAATCGAGCTGACATTTTGCACACAGACTCGTTGTGCGAGACAATTAATGTTCGTGAAAAATTTTTTCCAAAATTTTACACTGTTTAGGGAAAACAAATTAAATATGTAATTACCAATTGCTTAATACTGGCAGACAATCATCTGACCCATAGGTGGCAGCCATCTCAAGCCAGAGGACGAGAGGACTCTAGCCGCCACGCATATAAAGGATTTATAGTGAAAAACTTTGTTTTTACGGGTTATACTTATTACAAACGCGGCCGATGCGAGTTGTAGGAGGGCAATGGCTCACACAGCCTCCTGTCCCCTCCTGGTGTGTGTGTGCGTGGACTGTTACGGACATCGAAGTCCGTGCCATCTCAAAAAAACCGGTGGGCTGGCGGGGGGGAGGAAGGTCCTCATCCTCCCTGTCCAGGTAAATTATGTTAATTGCACACACACATATATATAAATAAATAAACAAATAAAGGCTGTGCACGCCGTACTTATCCAAGCTGTGAATTCCAACCGCGTGGGCTCAAGCACCCCCCACCCCACCCCCCAACCAAAGAAGCAGTCGCGGCACCGCGGAGCGCAGCGACGTCTCGCTCCATCATCCTCATCATCATCATCCTCATCATCATCCCTGCCCCCTCCCTCCTCCTCCTTCCATCCTCCTGCTGGGCCTCCTGCTCCCCCCTCGTCCTCCTCCTCGTTCAACAATAACCCCGCGACAGCCCCAAACATCCATCGCTCGCTCGCTCTCATCTCACGCGGTCGGGGAGCAGCAGCAGCAGCATCCCCCCCCAACCCCGAGCCGAGGTGGGAGCTTGCGAGCAAGCGGGCAGGGTTAGTAAATGATAAAGTTTATTTGAAAGAGAGAGGGTCACATTGCTTCTGCTCGTTCGCCTTCATTCCTTCTCTTTGACATAAGAGGATTAAGAGAGATGCTGCTGCTGCTGATGATGATGCTGATGATGATGCTGCAGATGTAAGCGGGCCCGTCCCGTTTCCTCATCATCATCATCCTCCTGCTGCTCCTCCTGCTGCTGCTGCTGGGTTCATCCTCCCCGGTAAGGATCCACTCGCTCGTTCGTTCGCCGCCTGTCGCTGTGAGCATTGAGTGGTCGCTATTTGCAAGAGCAAATAGAACGCGTTCGTTCGGTGTCGGCGTGTTGTGAAAGACGTTGATCAGTCTCCTCTCTGTGTCTCTGTGTGTGTCTCTGTGGGTGTCTCTGTGTTTCTGTGTGTGTCTGTCTGTGTGTGTCTGTGTGTATCTCTGTCTGTGTGTGTCTGTGTGTGTGTCTCTGTGTGTGTGTGTCTGTGTGTGTCTCTGTGTGTGTCTCAGTCTCTCTGTGTGTATCTCTGTGTCTGTCTCTCTGTGTGTGTCTCTGTGCCTCTGTGTGTGTCTCTGTGTCTCTGTGTGTGTCTCTGTGTCTGTGTGTGTGTCTCTGTGGGTGTCTCTGTGTCTCTGTGTGTGTCTGTCTGTGTGTGTCTGTGTGTATCTCTGTCTGTGTGTGTCTGTGTGTGTGTCTCTGTGTGTGTGTGTCTGTGTGTGTGTCTCTGTGTGTGTGTCTCTCTGTGTGTATCTCTGTGTCTGTCTCTCTGTGTGTGTCTCTGTGCCTCTGTGTGTGTCTCTGTGTCTCTGTGTGTGTCTCTGTGTCTGTGTGTGTCTCTGTGTGTGTGTCTGTGTCTGTGTGTGTAGCTATGTGTGTATCTATGTGTGTCTCTGTGTGTGTGTGTCTCTGTGTGTGTCTCTGTGTGTGTGTCTGTGTGTGTGTCTCTCTGTGTGTGTGTCTGTGTGTGTGTGTCTGTGTGTGTGTGTCTCTGTGTGTGTGTGTCTCTCTGTGTGTGTGTCTGTGTCTCTGTGTGTGGGTGTCTCTGTGTCTCTGTGGGTGTCTCTGTGTCTCTGTGGGTGTCTCTGTGTCTCTGTGTGTGTCTGTGTGTGTGTCTGTGTGTCTCTGTGTGTCTCTGTGTTTCTGTGTGTGTCTGTGTGTGTCTGTGTGTCTGTGTGTGTGTCTGTGTGTGTCTGTGTGTGTGTCTGTGTATCTCTGTGTGTCTCTGTGTGTGTCTCTGTGTTTCTGTGTGTCTGTGTGTGTCTCTGTGTGTGTGTGTGTCTGTGTGTGTGTCTGTGTATCTCTGTGTGTCTCTGTGTGTGTCTCTGTGTTTCTGTGTGTCTGTGTGTGTGTCTGTGTGTGTGTCTGTGTATCTCTGTGTGTCTCTGTGTCTCTGTGTGTGTGTCTCTGTGTCTGTGTGTGTCTCTGTGTCTGTGTGTGTCTCTGTGTGTGTGTCTGTGTGTGTGTCTCTGTGTCTCTGTGTGTGTCTGTGTGTGGGGCCGGTCCGGTCGTGTTCCATCTGCTCGTGTTCGCCGTCACTGCTCGTGGCGAGCGAGGCCGCTTCATGCGCCGTCGTTGCTGCGGATAACGGGGCCGCTGCTGGTGCTGGTGGTGATGGTGTTGATGGTGGTGGTGATGGTGGTTGCTGGTGGTGATGGTGGTGGTGATGGTGGTGTTGATGATGACGATGGTGGTGATGGTGGTGTTGGTGGTGGTGTCGGTTCTCCTGGTGGTGTTGATGATGACGGTGGTGGTGGTTCTGATAGGTGTGGTGTTGGTTTTGCTGGTGGTAGTGATGGTGGTAGTGATGGTGCTGATAGTTGTGATGTTGGTGGTGTTTATAGTGGCTGCTGGTGGTGTTGATGGTGGTGTTGGTGCTGATGGTGGTGTTGGTGTTGATGGTGGTGTTGATGGTGGTTGCTGATGGTGTTGATGGTGGTGGTGTTGATGGTGGTTGCTGGTGGTGTTGATGGTGGTGGTGTTGGTTTTGCTGGTGATGTTGATGAATGATGGTGGTGGTGTTGATGGTGGTGTTGGTGCTGGTGGTGGTGTTGATGGTGGTGTTGGTGCTGATGGTGGTGTAGGTGTTGATGTTGGTGTTGATGGTGATGTTGGTGGTGTTGATGGTGGTAGTGTTGGTTCTGCTGGTGGTGATGGTAGTTGTGATGGTGGTGGTGTTGATGGTGGTGGTTGCTGGTGGTGGTGGTTCTGCTGGTGATGGTGTTGATGGTGGTAGTGGTTGCTGGTGGTGGTGTTCATGGTGGTGGTGTTGGTTCTGCTGGTGGTGTTGATGGTGGTGGAGGTTGCTGGTGATGGTGGTTCTGCTGGTGGTGGTGGTTGCTGGTGGTGGTGGTGGTTGCTGCTGGTGGTGTTGACGGTGGTGATGGTGGTGTTGGTTCTACTGGTGGTGTTGATGGTGGTGGTGTTGGTTCTGCTGGTGGTGTTGGTTCTGCTGGTGGTGGTTGCTGGTGGTGGTGTTCATGGTGGGGAGCGGTGGCGTAGTGGTCCGCGCACTTCGTTACGAACCCGGCGACCCGAGGTCGATTCCTGCTCACACCGGTGACGATTATCTGAATCGGTTCCGGGTCTCCCCTAAGTCGACTCAGCCTGAAATGAGTACCTGGTACAGTGTGTAAAAATCACCACTGGGGAGACAAAGGCGGCCGGGCGTGGCGTGTGCCTTGCCGGCCTTCATAGGTGCTCCTCGCTAACAGTACTTGCCCCTACAGTCTGTTACAGGCTACACGGGGGATCTTTGTCTCGTGTTGATGGTGGTCAGTGTGTCAGCTGCCTGCTGCTCATTATAAGGACACACATTAGGTGTTGTTGGGTGAAGGATGTTGATTTTATTTGAACTTTGATCTCCTGTTGCCGTTCGACGCCAAGAGGACGTACGGATGGAGTTGTAGGGTTTAGGAGAATGTGAGTTATGGGGGCGGGGGGGGTGTTGGGGGTAGGGATGGAGATGATTGGTGATTGTGGATGAACAATACAGGAGTTGCCTTTTTAAATTCTCCACGTGATCTGGTGGTGGTGGTGGCGCCGCACAAACACGATGAACACAAACACTCAACACGTTTGTCACTAACAACGCTGTGCACACGTTGTTGTTGTGTGTGGCCTTAACAAGGAACAGGCGACGTTTTGGGCATTGGCTCTTACTCAGAGCCCATGAAATAGAGTGGCCAGTAGTGTAGAGATGAGACTTGAGTGGTTAAGAGTCGGAGACTCCACGTGTTTACAGGGTGATGCGGCGGGGGGGGGGGGTCTGATTAGAATTCAATGTCAAACATGTTTCCGAATGAAACCGCTTGTGAATAGGCACATGAATAGTGAATACTCCGTAGCTATTGAGTTGAACAGACACACGCCTTCGGACAACGCCCTTTAAATTCGCATTTAAATGGCAGCGCTTGGTGTTAATCATTGCAAGGCTGGCGTTAGTTCGGGTGGGTTAGAGTTAGGGTTAGATATATATATATGAATGTTCAATAATTCTCTGAAAATTGGCGTTTGAACGGCGGTGTTTGGTGTGAGTGTGTGGGATGAGTGGTTGTTGATGTTGCTGCAGTTATTTTAAACGAGGCTCTAAACCCAATTTGCATCACTGTAAGAAGCACATCGGGTGAGGGCTATGGTGAAGGTTGCGTGTATTAGTTGAGGTAGGGTTATCGATATGGATAGGGCAAGCCTTGGGTTTACTAAATGGTTAGGGATTTGTGTGGGGCTAGCGGTTGGTTTGGGTATATGTGGTTAGGAGTAGGGTTGTGGATATAGTTAAGGATAGGTTTAAGATTAGGGGATATAATCCGCCTAGGGTTAGAGCTGTGGTTAGGGTTATAGGGCTGTGATTAGGGTTTGGCATTCGTGCTGAGGTTGGAGTTAGCTGGCGGCTGTGTTTAAGAGCTCAGGTTTGGTCTTTGCTGGGGTCCCGGCTCCTGTTAAAGTAATGTGGAATTTCCATCACTGGCTCGGAGCTGACTACTTTGATCTGCACCTCGTCGCTTGTGACGCCGGGCTCTCTTTGGGTACGTGGCTAGGGTTATGTATTTTTGGGGGGGAGTTTGGCTATATGGATAAGGTTATATGGGTAGGGTTGAGTTTGGCTATATGGGTAAGGTTAAGTTTGGCTGTATGGGTAAGGTTAAGTTTGGCTTTATGGGTAAGGCTATATGGGTAAGGTTAAGTTTGGTTATATGGGTAAGGTTAAGTTTGGCTGTATGGGTAAGGTTGTTATATGGGTAAGGTTAAGTTTGGCTATATGGGTAAGGTTAAGTTTGGCTATATGGGTAAGGTTAAGTTTGGCTGTATGGGTAAGGTTAAGTTTGGCTTTATGGGTAAGGCTATATGGGTAAGGTTAAGTTTGGTTATATGGGTAAGGTTAAGTTTGGCTGTATGGGTAAGGTTGTTATATGGGTAAGGTTAAGTTTGGCTATATGGGTAAGGTTAAGTTTGGCTATATGGGTAAGGTTAAGTTTGGCTTTATGGGTAAGGTTAAGTTTGGCTGTATGGGTAAGGTTATATGGGTAAGGTTAAGTTTGGCTATATGGGTAAGGTTAAGTTTGGCTTTATGGGTAAGGTTAAGTTTGGCTGTATGGGTAAGGTTTTATGGGTAAGGTTAAGTTTGGCTATATGGGTAAGGTTAAGTTTGGCTTTATGGGTAAGGTTAAGTTTGGCTGTATGGGTAAGGTTATATGGGTAAGGTTAAGTTTGGCTTTATGGGTAAGGTTAAGTTTGGCTATATGGGTAAGGTTAAGTTTGGCTTTATGGGTTAGGTTATGGGTTAGCGTTTGAGTCGAGCTTTGTGGCTTAAGTTTAGGGTTAGATATACAGTTTTTTTTATATATATCAGAGTTATGGCAGTGACAAGTACATGCATCAGGTTGTGGTTTAGAGTATCAGCCCAGGGGCTATGGTTCGCGCTCGAGGTTGGCGATTAAGAGTTCTGAATGTGTGTTGGGGTTAACAGTGACGACTGTTGTGGTGTATGCAGCAGAGCTGCGGTCAGCGGCAGGGTTTGAGATAGGGCTCCAGGTTTGAGTTGTTGCAGGGGGGGGGGGGGATAATAAGCCTTGGGTGTTTACCGGTGCCAAAGTGAACGTGCTTGGATTTGGGACAAAGGCTGTGTGGGTCCGTGCTGGAGTTGGGATTTGGTGGAGAATGAGCTCCAACGATGGGGGCAGGGTGAACTCAAGGGTTCAGCGGAGTCCTTTAATCCCAGTTTGAAGCCCTGTCTG